AAATTGGTTCTCCATTTTACTTTTACAAGCATTTTTGAACCAATTTTTTAGAGAGAGAAGAAGGGGGAGGAAGAGAGAGAGAAACATCGATGAGAGAGAGAAGCATGAACATCTATGAGCTGCCTCCTGCAAGCTCCTTCCAGGGGATCGGGCCCACCCCCTGGGCAGGTGCCCTGACTGGGAATCGAACTGGTGACCTCTTGGTGCATAGGTTGACGCTCAACCACGGAGCCACACCAGCCGGGCTGGTTCTCCATTTAAAACTGGTTGTCAGAATAAAAGGATCTCCCAGGGTTCTTGAGATGAGAGGTCACCGATGAGCTTTAGGTGGAGCGGGGCTGGGCCCTGAGCTGGCCTGTGGGTGGCGGGCCCTTTTCCCAACCACCAGTGTGCTTCCGCTCATTCCGCTGTGCGGCGGAGGGAGGCTGCTCGCCCAGAAAGCTCTCTAAGTGAATGAAATGTTCTCTTTGGATTCCAGCCCAACTCCCTTTGTAGCCCGGTTTTCGTACAATTTGAGGAAACACACTTTCACCCCAGCCTGGTGAGGATGAGCGACAGGGTTGGGGCAGAGGCAGTGAGGAGGGTGACGGCGCACCGGTGGGGGTCCCCCCCACGGTACCAGCTTCGCCTGAGGAAGTAAACTTCGCTCGAATTTAGAGAAACATGGACGTATCCAGGCCAAACATTTGTACAAACCCAGACGGGGGTCGATGCGGGCCCAGAAGGTCCTGGCCGCACCAGGGTGGCCTGAGGTCCTGGGGCTGCTGACCGCTGCAGGTTCACACCTGGCTGGTGTCCCGCTGTGCCACCCTGCATCGGCACAGGTGTTTCGTTCCAGTGCCCATCCACTCGGGGAGGGCAGAGCAGAGTGGAGCAGACTTGCCGTCATCTGGTCCACTTCCTGGCAGTGGTCCTGGAACACCCGCATTTCCTGTCTGAGCCCCGGTTCCTCGCCTGCGCGGGGGCAGGACCAGCGCTCACCTTTGTCATAGAGCAGAACTGCGTTCGTAGCTGTGAAGTACTGAGTGGTGCTGTCACATGTCACCCGGTGCAGAGTGTCCATCACACAATGTAAACATACCACACAGACCCCGTCATCTCCTGCAGCACCAGGCTCGTCAGGGGCAGGGAATCGGGCCCGTGTGCTCCTCCAAAGGGTTTCCTGGAGACGTAGGCTTGTCCTGCTCCACCTCGGACCTCCGTTACCCTCCCTGGGGCAGCCTGAGTCAGCACTGCAAGCTGCGTCCACCTCGGACCTCCGTTACCCTCCCTGGGGCAGCCTGAGTCAGCACTGCGAGCTGAGTGTCCTGGGGAAAGGAACCGATCCAGAGGCAAAGCAGCCCCCGACTGGGGTGCACGCTCGGAAAGGCACTTGGATGTGGTCTGGTTACAGGCTGCTGGGAAACACAGGCAACCCCCTGGCTCGGGGGATGGGCCTCCAGGGTCTCCTGCCTGCCTGACAGGTGGGGGAGCCCACGACGCCGTCTGTCCACCGGGTGGATGGAATGACTGACAACCCTGGCCCTAACAACCCCCTTCCTTCCTCAGCCTCTCTCCTCTCCAGACCAAACCATCTTCCTCTGTGTTTTCTCAGCCACTCTTCTCTAAGCTCGGATAAAACAGGAACACAACAGCCCCTCACGGGCCTCTCGTGCCCCGCTCGAAGTTTCAGCTTCAGAACTTCTGTTCATCATCAGAATTTCCGATGACCGAAAGGGCGATGCTAGAAGCAGGGTGGGGTGGGAACGGGGCCCCGCCCTCTGCAGAAACCTTTCCACTGGCATCGCGGGAATTCCCGTGATGCTGGGGCCGCTTCCGGGGACTTGGAAGGACTCCGGCGCTGAAACGGGTTTCCAGTTTTCCACCCCGTCCCCCGGGCATCCGTGGCCTTGGAACTGCGTGTTTGTGCAGCTGAGCTCTACACCGAAATGTAAAATCTGTTTATTAACTTTGAAAAATATGCTCCTTACATTTTTGAAACATATCGCAGTAATCCAAGTTGAAAGGAAAGCCCTCATCCCGCGGACGGCAGCAATAGAACCGTGCCCACCGCGTCTCCAGCACGTTCTGCCTCCCGTTTGAACCTGCAGTGGAACAGAAGTTCAGCTAGCCCTGGGGCACGTGCCCGTGGGAGGGATACATGCCCATGTGCAGGACGTGCACCCGTATGCGGGACACACGCCCGTTTGCCAGATGCGCGCCCGTGTGCAGGATACACGCCCGTGTGCGGGATACACGCCCGTGTGCCACATGCGCGCCCATGTGCGGGTACGCGGCCAAGCTGGGAGCTGCGGGTCTTCCGCACAGCTGGCCCTCCCGCGGGGGTGGGTCCATCAAAAGCCCGGGCACACTTGGTGACTGCCCAGAGAGAGTGAAGGCTAAAGAGCCTCTGTTTTTACTGTTACAGGTGAACACACTCCTGGTGCTGTGTGGCCCCCTCCGTGGCCCGCTGCCCATGACGTGTGGCTTTGCGAATCTCCGTGTGCAGAGAACCTTCGTGCGCTGCCCATGCCTCACCTTCCACCCGGGGAGGCTGACGCAGCCGCCCCTGGTCGTCTGCGGCAGGGAAGAGCCGGGCCTGGAGAAGACCTGATGCACACGGTTGGCGAGGAGCGCCCAGGCGGGCAGACAGCTCTGGGCGGTTCCTTCTCCCCCAAAGCCTCACGTGGTTGCTGGTTTCCTTGCTGTTAAGAGAGTTATTCCCTCAGATCCTGTTTGACTTGAAGCCAAGCTGCGCCTCCATGTATCTAGAGAGGGCACATCTCCCAGACCTCTGTAGCACGGTGCCCTCTGTGCCCGCGTCAGGGCGGGCACTGCGTTTTCACAGGTGAGCCTTCACCCACGTTCGACTGACTTTCTGAGGAGCAACTGCTTTTCTCTTCAAACAGGATCCGTGATGATGGAGAAACATTTACTTTTCATAAAAAAAACAAATAGCACACAAGCCTGCAAACCCAGGAGTGTTTTGTTACCGTTTTGTGTTTTATCTTTTAATCCTGGGCAGCGACTTACTTCGCTTTCTCTCGTGGTCACCTGTCAAAGCCGCCTGTCCCCTCCTCGCAGCCGGCAGAGTGAGGCCATGAACGGCAGGGGACAAGGACGGGCCGCCTCTGGCCAGGACCGGGGCCAGACGTTCAAGGTGCAGGTGCAGCAGGAAGGGTCGGCCTGGGCTCTTCCGGCTGCTCGGGTGGCTGGCAGCCCTGCTCACCCTCGGCTCCCGTCTCGCCTCTGTGGCCACGTGGCATTTGCTCCGTGTCTTTGTCCACATTTCCCTTCTGAACTCTGCCCCCGGTCCCTGGCCCCCACCCTCTACCTCCTGTCTCTATGCATCTGGCTGTCTGGATCCCTCGTGTAGGTGGGCTCAGGCAGTGTCTGTCGGGTTGTGACTGGCTCACTACACGGAGCATCGTGTCCTCACGGCCCATCCTTGCTGTCGGAACGTCCTCCCTTTGAGGCTGGGTGATGCTCTGCTGTCCAAGCGACAATCAGACACCAGGCTCTGCATGTCACCGGTGCTGCTGCAGAGCTGTGTCTGCGGCCCTGGGTGGGCGGCCGGGCTCCGGGCTGCAGGTGGACAAGGGCACCGTTCGCTTTCCATCCTCACGATTCCTCCTGAGGGGCCCGCTGGTCTGCGTCGGCATCTGACGAGAGAGGAGACACACTGGAAAGGTCCCGTGGTTTCCCCACAGTGAGGTAGGTGGTCAGTGTCTATCTGAGTGCCCTGCTGCATGGGGGCCCTGGAGGGCAGACCCAGCCCCCAGCTCCACCTCAAGGTGCCCGCGATGAGCCACTTGGGAGAGGTTCCAGAAGGTGTACGGACCACAGGCTGTGGGTCATCCAGATAGAGGTGCAAACCTGCCCAGCTGTCACCTGGCCTGGCACCTGGATCAGGATGGCGTCTTCATCTCTAGTATTGGTAAAACAATAGTATGCATTCCATAGAATGATGTGAGAATTAAAATCAGATCACCTATATGTGCAGTGAAACACAGTGTCTAGACATAGAAAGGGCTCAGCAAGGAGGAGCCAGTATTAATAGTACTAGAATCCTAATTTATGAGGGAAAACCGAAGTGGGGTCCATCCATCCATTGCAGTTTTATGCAGCCATTAACAACTGGGTTCACATTTGGTGTTCACAGACTTGTTTAATGCACGTGGACATTTTTATGCTACTTGACATTTTTTAAGCTTCCAAAATTATATACACTGTATGATTTCAATTATGCTTTTTAATTTTTTATTAAAATTTTTTATTAAAATTTTTTTATTGCTTTTACAGAGAAAGGAAGGAGAGGGAGAGAGAGAGAAACACTGATGAAAGAGAACATTGATTGGCCGCCTCCTGCATGCCCTCCACCGGGGGTCAGGCCTACAACCTGGGCACGTGTCCTGACTGGAACTTGAACAGGGGACCTCTTGGTGCAGGGTTGATGCTCAACCACTGAGCCACACCGGCCAGGCCAATTATGTTTACTTTTTTTAAAAAAAAGCAATAAAGACCTGGGAGGAAATAGGACCAAATGCTAATCGCGGTGTATCTGGGTTGCGGTGTAATGGGATCGTGCAGAACTATTTTTCTGCTTTGATACTATTTCCTGTGATGCAGCAACTATCTTTACAATTATAGTAAATAAAAGACGTAAGGGAAGTGAGTACGCACCAGTCCATCTCCTCCCCATCTCACAGGGTGCCCAGTGCGGGCTGCAGCGGCAGCACCAGGGTCGCCACCAGGGTCCGGGCCACGTGCCTGTCCAGTTCGTCTCCGTGGCGGCCAAGGCTGCAACCCCGCCCTGGTTCTGACAGTAAATACAACTGTGGCTTTTTATCAGGAACTTCAAGTGGCTCCCTGGTGTTGTCTGCGGGCCAAGACTGTCACTCTTATTTTAAGTCCCAAGCACAGATTAAGCTCCAGGATTAGAGTTTATTGGTTGAGCCCTTTGTTGATATGAATAGCAGGACCCGGGTACATGGGAGGCGTCTGCATAATCATGTATCTCAGTGCTGGTCACTCCTGCATCCAGTTGTAACCTGTCTCGTCATTTCTCATCACTGCCACATCCTGGCTCTTTCTCACAAGCAGGGGAGGGTAAGGAAGAGCCCGGAGGAGATGGAGGGCCCGAGGGAGCTCTCTGCCTGGAGGGCTTGGGGACTGGCTCTGGGTGCCCGAGGAGCAGTCGGGCCTCCTGACCCACAGGGAGGGAGCCAGCCTTCCAGAGATGGTCTCGCTGTAAACCTGCCACTGTCCGTGAGCCTGGTCAGGATCTCCAAGGCTGCCCCAGGGGAAGGCCCGATGGGATGATGCGTGTGTGTCCCCTGCCAGCAGGACGGTGCTCCCGAGGGTGGTGGGGTCCCATCCTCTCCTTTTCCTGCCCTCCCCCTACAGCTGCTCTCCTGACTGGAACCTCATGAGAAACGACTATAACTGGTGACTGCGGAGAACTGGTCGACGTTACTGCTTTCCTGGGAAAGTCCCTAAAACACTTCTGTGTGACTCTTCACTGAAGGGTGTGCAGGTGCTTCTCCTGGCCATGCTCTGTCCATCCCGGCTCCGATCTGTCCAGCTGCATCCTGAGGGTGATGGCGGGCCTGCCAGGGGGCTCCATGCCAGTGGGTCTGCTAGGAAGGGGAGCCCAGCAGAGCCCCGAGGACCCACGTCGAGGATGAGTCCCCGGATCCTGAGACCTCAGGCATACGCACCTCGTCCCCACCCTGCAGGCCCAACCCTTGGCCTCCCCACTCCCAGCGGGCACCGAGCTCCCAAGGAGGGTGCGGGGTGTGCAGGATGGGCTCGGGGGTCGAGGCAGGACTGGCAGGTGTTTCAGGCTTTGGTGGTATCAGACGCCCTGCTCCCCCTTTCTCTCCTGTTTCGTCCAGACCATCCTCCATCCAGGACAGGAGACCAAGGACAGGGCGAACTTTCCTGGAGTCTGTCTCTTCTAAGCCGTCCACTTGGAGGCTGGTAATTGCTTGTCGGTCGGTTGGCTAAGTGCAGTGATCTTCACTACTCCCCTCGAGTTCTGGGGGCCACGGAGCTCTGCTTCCCTCCTGGGGACACAGGAGGGCTTTCCAGGGTTTCACACCCACCCTCCCTGCACCCCACAAGGTAAGTGAGGTGCGTCCAAGTGGCGGCAACTCCGTTGTTCAGCAGGGCCCGCCAGACGTGGGGTCCCCAAGCCTCTTCTCTCTGCCTAGTGATGGGGCACCCTCCCACGGCCCTCGCGCACCCCCACGGAGGTCTGAGAAGGGAACGAGACGGCCTCTGTGCTTGCAGGCAGACGGAAACCTCCGTTTTTAAGCTCTGGAGGCCAAGTCAGGGCGTTAGCTGGTCACTGCACTGAGGGGGAGCATTTGCCCTGTGTCAACTCAACGGCAATTTGCAGAGTAGCTGGAACTCCTTCTAATGTTGTTCTTCTAAAAATAATTTACCCAGGAGTAAATTACGGAATTGTGCTGAATTGGCAGGCTTTCGTTTTTCTAAGTCAGTGGTTTTTGCCAAAGCTGTCCCCAACCACTCAGAATAAATGAACATTAGCTGTACTGCCCGTGCACGCCCGTGAGGCCACGCCATGGGCCCTGCCACACTGGGCTCCGTGGCCCCTTCACTCTGCACCCCCCGGCCCCGTGCGACCACCAGACGAAGGGCACAGTGGCTTTGCACTACTGTGCGACCCACCTGGAACCACACTGACCAGGATGCCCCGGGGGGGTGAGCAAGGCCTTCGAAGGGCAGCCCAGCCTGGGTTCGGGGTCAGGCCAGGCTATGGTTCTGAGACCCCAACAGTTGCTGACTTGACATTCAATAGTGGGTGGTGGTCTCTATTTGAAATAAAACTGGGGAAAGTGGGGACTCGAACTCCTTATGACTTCGCTAATTTCCCCAAAGGTTTGGTTGGGAAAGCAGATGCCGGGCCATGGAGACGAGAGCCGCCACTTCAAGGACAGACACAGGCGACCCGAGGAGGTGCTCTGAGCACGGCTGGGGGCCAGCGCCCACACGGGGGCCACACCCTGCATTAACCTGGGACCCTCGCAGCCCACGGTGAAACGGGGGACACCTTCCACACAGTCTTCATGACGTCGACTGAGCACGGGGACGTGTGTGGGCCTGTGAGCACCCGGCCCGTGGACCTGCGCCCTCACCACCTCCCAGGCTGGCTCGGTGCACAGCCGCTTCACAAACTGCCAGGCACCGGACCCCTGCGGCCACTTTCTTTTGGCCTGTGTTTCTGAAGCCTGGTCCTTTGGGTGGTTGGCTTTGTGTTGCTCTTGAGATGCGAGGGTGAGGTGGTGTTTCAGGTTCAGATGGGGCTCCCAAGGGCTTGATCTCACGCAGCGTGGGGGGCCCCACACAGCACAGGGTAATCTGTGACGCGCACGGTTCTCGGCCAGCCTGCTGCCCTGCCCGGGCCATCACACCTCGGGGGCCCTGAGCCCCAGGCTGCTTCCCTGAAAGGAGCAAGGTGAACCCGCACATTTCCGACTCTGCACTTCCTGCTTCCCACAGGTTGCTCTGTGCAGAGGAGGCTGGAGCAGCCTGGGGACTGTTTTCCGAAAAGTGGCCGCCACCTGCTGGGAGCCTGTGGAACTGCATGACAGGAGCTGACCCTGCGTCACCGCGGTTTCTTCCTGTTCCCAAAGGGCAGGTAATTCCGGGGCCTCCAGTCAGCTGGAAGGTCAGACTGACCCAGACTCCAGACTCTCAGAACAATAACGCAGGTGCGGGTCCCCTCTTGCCAACAAATAAGAGTAATAAAAGGGATTGACGTCAACAGATCTCTGCCCGATAAGCCATTGTTCAGGGATGTCCACTTCACCCGCCACAGACTGTTGCCGTGGCTCTGGGTGCTGCAACTGTGAGTTCATTGTCCCGAAGAAAAGGAAGTCCCGGAAAAGATACTTCTAAAAGCTTTAGGTCAAGTTCATTAAAATACAGCTTTTTGTGCAAGGCCCCACGCAGGTGGGGCTCCTACCACACTTGACACTCTGGTTGACCTCTCCCTTCCCCCACCCCCCACATACCATGTAGGAAAGGGGCAGGAATGGGTGGGGGTGGCTCACTGCTCATCCGAACAGACCCTTTTCAGAAATGTGGGTCCTGTTTGGAGAGTAAGTCCCTGGAATGAAAGTAGACAGCAGGCTTCCCTTCTAAACACCCGGGATTCCCGGAAGCAGTGACTTCAGTGGGAGAGTAGTTAACAGGGGCCAGAGAAGGCAAAGTGGGGGAGGGGGCCAGGGACCTGCTTCTGAATTCCAGAGGCGAACCATGACCACCAGCACACATGCACACAAGCACACACATATGCACACACAGGCAAAGCACTGATGGCATCACGGCCTTTGCAATCCACCAGAACAGGGGCCTGTTACTTCCATCACAGTGTGCCCTTACCTGAGGGACGAAGGTCCAGGGACTGTTCAGTTCCTGACTCCTCAATGAGGAAGAAGACAGCAGCCAACTTCCTGAGGATACCTGGGGAAACATCCGGTCCCAGAGGAAACTCAGCCGGGTCGTGTCCCTGAACTGGCAGGCATGCAGGGAAGGAGCTGTGGGGACCAGGAGTGACTCGGCTGGACCTCGTTGCGCGGTGTCAGGTGGAAGTGCTTGGTCCAGGCAGGGAGCTGGGGCTCTGCAGTTTGGAGAGCAGGGAACCCCTCGCTGTGCCGGGCGGCACTGCGCCCAGCTCACCTGCCCAAGTTCCTGGAGTCCCACAGCGAATCCCCAGAAAGCAGGGGGGTTCTCACTGACAATGTGGCACAGAGCCTGTCACTGGCCTCGCCTCCCGTTCTCTCAGCACCAACGTGCCCGTCCCAGTTTGTCCACGTGGAGTCATGGTGCCCAGCGGGCAGTGCAGAGCACCTGGGAAGTGGGCTCAGGCATGTCCTCCCTGTGTCCACCTGGACCAGGGCCCATGGGGAGAAGTGTGAGCCAGGAACCTCAGGTCTCAGACTCAGCCCTCCTGCCCATGCCCCAAGGAGGGTCTACTGGGGGAGGTGGCGGGATGGCATCAGTGTCTGGGAGGACTGCTTTGGCCAAATATGCGTGCGGGTCACAGGCCTCGGGAGAGAGGACGAAGACGGGAGGTAGCAGCCTTTGGAGGTCGGTAACCCCAGGAGCTGCTGGCTCTGAGGTCCCATCACCACCTGCTTCCTTCCTGCCTGCTCCAGCTCCAAGCGGGTGTGTGCGCCCACAGTGTGGGCCCCAGGCCTGGGCCTGCCTGGTGCTGATGCACTGGGGTGGTGTGTTTGTGGCTGTGGGGGTGCAGCAAGTTGTCCTCAGCTCCCCACCTCTCCAACGTCCCCCTCATGGTTCTCCCACGGAGCCCAGCCCACCTGGGACAGGCTGGAAAAGGCCTTCCCACTGCCGTTTTCAGGAAGCCCGTCCCAGCCCTCCCTGCTTGGGGGCTCCTGCTCCCACTCGGAGCGCCTTCTCTGAGCCATGTCTCGGGGGACACCACCTGCACTTCTGACATCTCTGAAGACCTGGTTGAGGACAGGAGCACTGCTGCTTTGCACCCACGCGATGAGCTGGCCTGCGTTACACTCACCAAGAACGTGCCACGGAGCAAAGGGAGGAGACGAGTGTGTGCGACCTGGGGGGGGCGCTGTTGTTTGCAGATGTGCGTGTTGTCACCACAGGCCTCTGCTGGTGTGCTGAAACCTCCTCAGGCCTCTGGAGTAGACAGGACACCCGTGGAGAGCTGGGAGAAGCCGTGCAGTCACACCTGACATGCTGTAAAGAGCTCACTGAGGTGTTGGACTTCCGCATCTCTCGTGGGTCACACTTCAGTGACGCAAAGGTGCTGATTCGGTGGAAGAGGGGCCGCCTGCCCAGCCTAGGGTCCTGGGGGCTCTGGACGCGAGGTAAAGGCTGCATCAGCACTCGCCCATCGTGGGCGCCCCCTGCTGCCTCCACCTGGGAGCACCTGGGAGTGGGAAGCCTGGTGGAAACACAGGTTGGAGGAAAAAAATAAAACTGGAAGGGCAGAGGGACAGGGCTCTGGGTGCCACTTCTGGAGTCCCAGCGCGAGCTCCCCAGTGCCAGGAACTCTGGGTTGAGCGGGCTGCTTTGGGAGGCTCCTGGGTGCCTGCCAGGGGCCCGTGGCAGATGCTGTCTGTAAACGGGCTCTGTGCAGGCGGAGTCCAAGGCAGCCGGATGCCGTGTCCCCTGCCAGTAGTGCCGCCAGCAGGCCTGTGACACAGGAAAATGCAAACGGGACCCCCATGTCTCAGTTCGCCTGGAATTACACCTGGCCGGCCCGCGGGCAATACTCCACAGGAAACTGAGCACAAGCGGCGGATGGACCGAACGTCGCCTCCAACAAGGAGGGTGGACGGACAGGGCGAGTCCGTGTGGGCAAGGGGTCCCACGACAATGGCATGTCTCTGCTCATGTCACTGACCAGAGGGCCCCAAGGACTCGGTCCCTTTTTCACAGCGCCCCCGCTTCCCCGCCCGCACCCAGCACACATTCCCAGAGCGGAGTCTGATGGTCCACACCGGAGACATCCACCTCCCCCCTGGCTGCCCGGCTCCCGGAGGCCGAATGTGGTCCGGCGTCCCCTCACTGTCCACACAACACGGCACGCGGGGCTCCCCCCGAGACCCTCCTGGGTGATGGGCTCAGGCCGCGTCGGACAAGCCACGCTGTGTCCTTCCGCCCTACTTCCCAGCCCTGATGACGGTATTCTGACCTTCAGATTGAAACGTTTGCTCAGCAAGTTTCTTTTAGTACTTTACCTCAAAATAGGCTGTTTCTTCTGCTTCTAACCTGACCTTGGCTTTGTATGTCTGAGTCACGGGTTGGCCGCAGGCAGCTGTGTCCCGGCAGCTGTCACAGCCTCTGGGCACAGAGTTTCCATGAGTGATGTGGACAGTAATTTCCTCACTTGTGCTGAGACTCTGACTTCTTCAAAAGTGTCCTTTTTGCTCACACTGCTCGTATCAAAACATGACACAGCGCATTCCACGAGGTCATTGCTCTCACTCGGTAGCTGCTTTTTGCAGATGGCGACCCTAGCGGCTTGGAGACCTGCCCGTTCTCCAGCTTGCCTCCCTGCAGGGGCTGTGCCCCCGGATACGGAACGGCCTCTGACGACGTGCAGGGCCG